AACTTTAGGATAGTATTCATCTCTGTACTAACAATGTATGCTGTAGAACTCAGAACAATAGTTTATATATCCTTTGAGTTATGAACTAATATTATAGTACCCCCTAAGATAATTTCCTAGGGGGGTAAAAACGCTCAAATGCAGTGTCGTGACCACCCCGTTGAGCTGTCATCTTTTAATATCTTTATCAGCATGAAAAACTGATCCAGAAAAATAGGTCTGTTGCTTTTTCTAAAAAATGCCTCAAAAAGTCTTTCCCTTGAGATATTCTGAAATTGGAACCTGTCTATGTAAGCTTAGATCTTAAAGATCATTTTCTTTGTTTGAGTCAAAATTTTGACATAGGTCTGGGCGCCTAGCCTAGGCCTATTGATGAGAAGATAATTGGCCCAAATTGGCCATCAAAACTTGTAATTGTTAGTCGAGTCAAGGAGGATTGGCTCCCAGAGTGCACCACCGATATTCTGTCCCATATATGGGTATGTCGTAATACAAAATTCGAATTCAAACAGCCGCCATTTTGTTCACTTCAACATTTAAATCGTGAATTTTGGTCTTATTTCCAAACGAAAAGTTCCAAAACTCACAAGAAATGATCGAGATCCTCCTTGGTCGAGTGAATGTTTTTACTGCCAAATTCCAATATGGCGTTTTCTGCTCGGACATTTTCGTAAATCTCCGGAGGTTGTCCGAACCTAACTAATTCTCAAAATTCATATTGGAAATAGGTCTAAAAAACATTCACTCGATGAACAATTTACAAGTCTTGATCGAAAAAGAAGTATTTCAGCGCTGTAATACTTGCACGGATTGATGATACTGATGTAAGACACAGTTAGAGACCAAAAGTAAGCCGCGGATCGACTTAATTCGATTTCAAAGGTCACATTCATTCAGCTGTCCAAATGCTCCGTGGGAAAGCTATTATATCAAAATCCAAATAGCTTTCGCAGGAATTAAATCTAGTCTAGATCTAAGCTTACTCGGACTCATGTAAAATAATGTAATATCCCGTAATATCCCTTAAAGCAGATATGAAATGGTATTTTTAACCTAAAGGAATCAATATAATTTTTTGATAGATGTATTTGGACATGTTTTCTAATCAGTAGTATGAAAACTATTTCACTCTAACGATCGTTATAGCTGCTTAATAAGCAATATTCGAATTGGTTGTGACGTTATTGGCCCCCACGTGATCTCTCACTGGCCCCCACGTGGACCGTTTTGGTCCATTAGATCATGACGTCATAATGCCAAAATGTTTTGTTATTTGTTTACACAACAATCCTATGGTTGCCGTGACGTTGTGATTACTATGGAACCAATAAACCAAAGCTATTATTTGTATATGACGTTACTAATCACGTGGGGGCCAATTTGATTTATCAGTTAGTTTTATTTCGTTATCTATGACCGTTAGCAGTTATCTAACATTTATTTTATAATGGCTATCGCAAGAACTCTACGGTGGGCTTACAATAGAGAAAACCGCATTTTTGTAGCTGCAAGTTGAGAAAAGCTATTTCAGTTGTCCTTTAAGCTATATCTCTCAGACAGACCCAGTTTTAGGATTTTTCAAAAAGTAGGCTAGACCAAGTTCTAGGAATTTTTTCATCAAAATGGGACCCATATCTAGGGATTTTTCGGCGAAAAAGTGACCCACTTTAGCGGCACGTCCCCATATTAGCCAATATGGAGTACCCCCCCCCCCCGGGCTCCTCACCTAGACTACGAACTTGGGCAGATTAAGTATATTTGAAGCATACCCATCCTCTTTGTAGAGCCCCATTCTCACAATGCCTTATTTAAAAAAACTACCTAAAAGTTTGGTGGTCACTAGACTATAAATATCAGATCTCTAAATGCCGTAAATCAGATGCAAAACCCAGATAAGAATGCAACATTGCCGGTGTAAAACGGTAGGAGGTCCTATCAAATTATGGTCCTACTCTCCATTGATTTATATGATGACCTAAATACAACTCTTTCCCTCATTATTTTATACACAATCAGGGCCAGAAAGGGCCGTTAAGAAAGGGGACCATAATCCCTAGGGGACCATCATTTCTTTCACACCGGATCACAGATTTTTCCTGAGGGACATGTCAATGTTTTGAATTGAAGTTCTTGTTTGAGGAAGCAGTATTAATTTTACTAATGTTAAGCGTGTGATGCATTATATGTAAAAATAAATAGTACCGTGGATACTGGGCTCACATGGTGTTGCTCAAAAGTGTATGATCTAAAATGGCAGAAAATAAAAAACGGATATCATTTTTTGCCGATTTGTAATAAAATTATTATATGAGCCTGGCCATAGGAAAACCGGTCTTATTACAAAAATTGAAATTGTGCTACAGAGCCAAAATTGTGCCCAAGATTAAGAGGAAAATGTGCTAAATTCAAATCTGACTTATTGGTTTATATATGCAAGTAAAATTGTTAAGACACAAGCCATGGCTCATCTGAAAGGTCTCTTTGTGCTTTTTAAGATAAACAAAAAATTAGAATATTGAAAAATTCTGTGATTAGACCCCTTTTCCTGTAGCCTGGCTCATATACAACTACTCTTTACAGTGACATGGCTTTAAACAATGCAGGACACCTATAAAGCTAGGAAATTAGCCAAAAGTCAATTTCGCGAGACAAAAATGGCGACCATTTTGAAAATAGGCGAACTTTTGAACCAGGAGTCATAGGGGAGTTTTCTGTATTGATGTTGAATAGAAATAACTTAAAACGGGAATCCTATTGTCAGAGGTTTTAAAGCAAATGGTCCAAATGTGAATTTCGCGAGACAAAGATGGCGGCCATTTTGATGATAGGCAAGCTTTTGCATTCTCAAAATTCATTTTGTTCGTTTCGTACCTTCACTACCTCTCTGACGTTGTTAAACTAGTTCTAAAATTCCCGGGGCACGATCTAAAGCTTCAGAAATTAGTACGATCTGTAATACTTTTATCAACAACACCGAAACTTTGATATAACATAAATTATAACGTTTACAAATGATTTTACCATCGAAATTGCTAATCTACGTAGTATTTGATGTGTTTTTAGGTAAAAATCTCCGCGGAGCAACAAATTGTAAAATGTCAAGATCGATAATCAGTAATCACTGGGATGAACATTACTACACGTTTTCAAGTTAGCGGTGTCAAAATTTTTGAAAACGCTTCAAATAGTATTAAGTTAATTTCTGGCGAGTTCACCGATATAATAACTTGTTATCTAGTAACAAGATAGAGAAATATGTAAGAAATTCAATTTTTTCGATTAAAACAACATCACATCGACATGTGGTATTCGTTTATTAGACGATTAAAATTACGAATATGGGGATGACGTCACTTCAAAACGAACTGCATAGCAACGGTGTTAATAAACAATTTCTGACCTTGCAAATTCCTAAGTATTCATTTATAACAGTTTGTTACGAATTACTTAATATTTTTCTTATGAATGAATAATTCTTACTACATTAGAAATGTATATTTTACAAAATATAACGAATAAAATCAGTAGCAAATTCAAAGAAATATATTTTTTGAAGCAGGTCAAAATATTTAGAAGGGTAAATTTCGCGGGAATTTAAAGAACTACATGAGGTAAGGCACAGGAAGTACGGATTGCACTGGACGAAAGGCTCGGAGATTGAAGCTTTTGAACCAAGAGTCATAGGGACGTCTTCTATATTGATGTTGAACAAAAATAACTTAAAATGGGAATCCTATTGACAGAGGTTTTAAAACGGGTCAATTGTTGACAGACAGACGGACGGACAGACAGAGGGACAAATAACTGATTGCAATAGCTCACCATGTGAGCTAATAATAACCCATAACATGGGTAGAGCCAGTTTGGTGATCTCACCTACCTACAAAAAAATTATTCTCCAAAGGAGAACTCCCGATAAGGAGAGCTTTTTAGAAGGACATTGCTTTTTTAACACTACATTGGAGATGATCTTAGATATTAGGTGATCTTAGATATTCCCAAAAACAACTTGTGTGATATAAAAAAAATTTAAGAACATTTTTTGCAAGGCAATGAACTCGTTTTTAAGGTTAGACTCTATTTGTGGTTAAAATCCGAGAAACTGGATAGACTCTGACGTATCAGAATCACTGTACATAAAATAGCCAAATACTATTCTAGTAGACGACCAAAAAGAACCACACAGTATCACACAGTTGTCATCAATCTTGCCCAAGTAAGGCTAGGCGTGGTCATGCTTATAATAATTTTGTCAATATAGTTTTGCAGAAACTTTTAAGCTAATCGTCTTGGGATTGCAAAGTTTTAATGTTTAACATAAAAAAAAAATGTTTAAAGATATCTGTTTTACCACGTCATGTATAATACTATTCTAGTATATCATTTTAAAGATACCAAACAATTGAAAAACCGTTGTTTTCTTGTAGAGTAAGAGGCTAAATTTGACACCATTGTCATCTGGTCATGAATGTCCAAGCATAAAAATGAAAATTCCTAAAGTTCCCTTCAAATTGCAATAACGGCAGAGTTGCCCTCAATATGCTTGACTGAATCATTGGAAATTCAATGAACAGCATTACACAATTAATGAATTAATTCAAAAGATATGAGTACTTTTTATGAATTTGCACTAAACTTGTAAATGTACCTCTTTTGAAGGTGCCAGAGCAGTGAATGATATTTTGGTCACTCATGACACCTCTCGGGTGTCAATTTTTTAAATCCAGAAGAAAACAAAGGTTTTTCAATCGGATGGTGTCATATTGTTAAGGAATGTTTTACTAGGAGATATATAATTGAATTGGCATATATACTGTATGATATTCATCTTTAAACTCTGGTATTCGTTTTCCGGCCCACCCTATACATGTAGGACTGAGACCAAAACACTGAATGGCTGTATATCACCCTAGGAGAGGGTTAATCTTCTTTTAAAAATATTCCAGAGTTGGCAAGACGAAAGGATACTGTACTTATAACATTGATTCTAGAAGAAGACTATGCAGACAATCACTGTAACATGTGTAACAGTGTCATTGATACGATTTCTCTTCTGTACACTGATACTTCTATCATTGCAAGGTAAGAAGACATTTTATTGAAAACAAACTATTCTGATCATAAATCTGACGAACCGATAAATAGAGGATATCCTATGATTTTTGAGGGATACCATCTTTATCCATGAGTGGATATCGCTCATCTCCACAAGTGAGCGCAGCGAATAAGTGGAGATCGGTGATATCCAAGAGTGGATAAAAATGATAGCCGCGAAAATCATAGGATATCATATTTATCCGATGGTCGCTACTTTTGTATGGACTTCAAATAATTTGACCTTAAGTTGTTGTTTTTTCTTTTTTTTTATTCCTATAATTTTTTTTCAATTTTTTTTTCAAATTAATTTTTATTTTTTTCAACATTTTATATATATATAATTTTTAATATATATATATTTTATACATATTCAATTTTTCAAAACTTTTTTTCATTTTTTTCAAAATTTGAAATTTTTCAAATATTTTTTAAAATAGTATCCGTCGGATATATAAGGGTTATGTACTGGGAGGTTTTGGATATAGGGTATATCCTGAGGGATATATTTATATCTCCACGAGGGACCGAAGGGACCAAGGGGATATATAGATATTTCCCGAGGGATATACCCTATATCCAAAACCGACCGCACATAACTGGTGTATCTCATACTTGAGTGGGTTTAGGGTAGATATAACCTTTTCCACGTTTTTCAAATAACAAGATAGGCCTATAGTAAAAGCATAATTTATATTTAACACTTTCGTCATATTCCTTTAGTTCAATACAATAAAATTGTAACATTTAATCTTTTTTTAATTTAAAACTAATAACTTTAAAAATGTTTTGATTTTTAAACTTTTGAAAAAATTCCGGGAGCGGGATGGATATATTATATCTGCCCGCATTTGGCCTGGAGCGGGACATATACAATATATCCTGCCCGCTCCTCAGATATGTAATATATTCCCAAGTGATATCTACCCCAAATCCACTCAAGTATGAGATACGATTGGATATCACATCATATGGATCGGATACGATTTTAGTGGCGTATACGAAAATTATCTTGTGTTGGTATCCCCATATATTTAGTATCCATCGGATAAATATATTTATATCATAGTTAGCATGATATTCATAGGATAACATGTGAAAATAAAAACGGTATTTTTGTAATCAGTGGTAAAGTATGATATTTTTGACAAATTTTCACTTAACCATAGCATACGGTTTTTTAGCCATGACATACGGCGCCGTATGCGATGGTTTATGGATTTTTGCTACATCAGACTCAAAACGAGGCTAAGTGTCAACATCGCCAGATCGTTTGGAAAATTCGAATTAAATCACTTAATTTCCGACGATTCTGATGATGACTTTAACTATGGAATAAAAAGAACATCCTATGATTTACTCGTGATATGATTTTAATCCACTCATGGATATTGATATCATATCCATTCGTGGATAAAAATCATATCACTCATAAATCATAGGATATCCTCTATTTATCTGAAGAATTCTTTCATTAATAATAATATATCTTATTTCACCATACGTGTACAAACTGTTTGGTTTTATTTAAAAGCAAGTTTCATTGAACTGATATAATATTATCTTCCTTTCAGCATATGCGTGTACAAATTGTTGGGTGTTATTTAATAACAAGTGTTATGCCTTTACTGAATCTTTTATGAGATGGGCTACAGTAAGATCCTTTTGTCAGAAATTCGGAGACGATGGTGATATGCTGGTCATAAAAACTCTAGCGGAATTGGTAAGAACAAATATAATTGGATAATAGACACTCTTGGTATACGCAGCTAGAGAAAGGGGACCGGTATGGATGTAAAAGCTGAACCGGTACGGAGTAACGGGTATGGGTTATATTCGAATTTAAAAAAGCCATAACTTGCATTTAAATATTGCCTTCTTCATGTCCAATTTGAAATCTATGATGGCCCCGAATAATTTGAAGTACCCTATTTTTACAGTTTTTTAAAACGAAGCAAAACTCTTTAGATGCGTATTTTATATTTTCTCTCGAGAAGGACTTCCACATTTTCACGATAAATTCTCTTTTGCACTCCCAACACTTAAATCATATTTTACAAATCTTTAATTTTTACAAATTTCTATTCAAATTCTTTTTCTCCAAGTTTGGGATTTAAGGTGCATGCTATTGGCAAGACTATTAGCTTTCTAATGACGTTAACAGATTTTCGAGCAGCGCTCGAGTTTTTTTTTATGTCACCACCAAAAAGTGGTGACATATTGTTATGGTCTCCGTTTTTTGACGGCGGATGGCGGTTGGCGATCGGTGGTTGGCGATCGGCGTCTGTAACAAATTCTTACAACTTCCAATAACTTAACAAATACTGTTTAGACTGACTTCTATTTTTTCATAATCATCTACATGTTTCCAGAAATTCAGATCTAAATTTATATTTAAGATTTGACCTTTAAAGACCCTTTTATAAAATATTCACGGTGACATTTCAAGTCTCCAAAAACTCAAGGGTAACATTGAACCTGTGTGATAAAGCACTGTCCTATCGGAAAATGAAATTCTGAATCTTTAAGCGAATAATCCAATCAGAAGGCGGGCCCATTGAGCCATATTTGGACAGACTGAATTAATAAATCTGTTTTACAACCATACTTTTTAAGCATGCAAGGCTCACAAACTGAATGAAAACAATATAAAAATATCAAGTTTGGAAAGTCCCGACAATGATGCAAGTTTTAACTAAATGGGCTAATGTTCGCAAAATCGATTAACATTTAGAATGTGTTTTTTGACCCCATGTTGGATATATCTCAAGCCAGGGTTGTTGAAAATTGTTCCTTTATCATTGTTGGAGTTTTTGTGAAAAAATGAACATTTATCAGGAATATTGGCTTGGGGAGGGGTGGCCCACCTTGTAGATATTTTTATTTGTAATTTATGCGATGCAGTTGATTCTTTAGTTTCTATACTCCTACTAGTATTCATTTTAGAGTTTTTTGAAGACGGAATTAAGGAGGAGAAAAAAATATTACTGGACTGGTGCAACAGATGAGGGAGATGAAGGTAACTGGCGATGGATTGATGGAAGCCCATGGGACCCTGAAATTGGGTAAGTAATGTTTTGGAATTAACACGGGCTGGTATCGAAAGATTTGTCCGCTGTGACGGAGCATGCTATTTTTCATAAAAACACTAAGAATGCTTCACGATTTATTTTTTAACTCATATGTTCCGTCATATCAAAGATAATTACTTACTCCATGCAATGGATATATCATTTGCGTGTAACCTCCACTTCTGTTTGAAGTCCAATAACGCTAGGAGTAAAATCTATTGAAAACGGCGCCAGAGTATCAAACTCTAAAATGTACCATTTCTTTTTTAACTTTTTAATGGCATGATATAGTGACACGATAATATTAACCTATGTTTCCAGCATAACTCTGAATGTATTAATGAGATATTAATGCAGTGGGTCTTTTAAAATTTTTTATAAAAAATAATGTTAATATTTTTTGTCCGCTGTGACGGAGCATTTTCACAGTTCACATTTGCAACTGCTCCGTCACAGCGGACAATAAAATTAAACAATATTTTTTATAAAAGAATTAAAAAGACCAAATACATCAACATCTCATTAATACCTTCATAGTTATGCTGAAACCATGTGTAAATATTATCGTGTCACCATATCGTGCCATTAGAAAGTTAAACAAGAAATGGTACATTTTGAAGCATGATACTCCGGCGCCATTTTCAATAGCTTTTCTTCCCAGCGTAATTGGACTTCAAACAGAAGTGAAAGTTACCCGCAAATGATATATCCATTGCATGGAGTAAGTAATTTTGACGAAACATATTAGTTAAAAAATAAATCGTGAAGTATTCTTAGTGTTTTTATGAAAAATAGCATGCTCCGTCACAGCGGACAAATATTTCGATACCAGCCTGTGATTAATATTCTATCGGCCATAACACGGGCTTTCAAGAGAAGGGTATGCAACTTCAATTTATCCGAACGTGAACATTGCCAGGAGGATATGAGATGAGTTATGGTAGTGTCCCTTTCGATAACTAATTTTATAAACATCCCTTATTTTTTATTGAAATCTCAGAATGTTCGCTGTTTTTATTGTGATTATTCTCTGCAAGTTCGGATAGCGTAACTTGAAAGCAGAGTCAGATCTATATCATATATGGCATGAAAACATCGCAAGCAACATGTACAGTTGGCCTACCAATGTTTTCCTTTCTACAAACTCAAATATAATATCTCCCAAAAGATCTGGGATACAGCCTTTTAAGAATTGGTGAAGTTATTAAGTATTCAAAGTGCAAAAGCGGGAAAAATTCTCCCAAATAACAACATGTTAACCATTAATTAGAAAAAGTATTTCATTTATTTATATAAATAGGTGTACATGGGGTAATAAGGTAATTACAAGAGAGCATCTTCAAGAGCTAATCACCATTTTGGAATTATAAGCACTCTAACGGTGAAAAGTTGAAGAGGGGAGGAAGGGTGTGGGGGTCTGACAATGTCGACATTGTAATTTATCTTATCTTTAATTGTGAGCAAAGAGTTGAGCCCTAAAGAGCAGGTCTACTCTTCACCTTTTAATACGTGTTTCTTCATTACTAGAAATATTTAGCTTTCGGGTAGGGGTTATATTTATGTCAAGGTTGAGAAGGTGCTAACGATGGTTGTTCTTTAAGGCATTTATTTGTTTGAATATTCTTTGGTACAGATAGTCAATGGAAGATTGCATTAGGTATGCAGGAGTTCAGGTATTTAGTAATGGCACGGTTGGGTAGCCTATAGTGGCAAGTATGTCGTAGTTCTCCTTGAGCTTCACATCGAAACTTATCAAAAATATCATTTATGCTAGGTGGAGATGTACCTTTACTAACGTTGAATTATAAAAAAATATTTGTCATATTCCGCAACGAATATGGTATATTTACTTGCGGTGTATGACAGATTCGCCTGCAGTATATGGTACTCACCTAGGGTGAATGACATATTCTGCATGTGAGTTTCAATTCAATTCAATTTATGAGCAAGGTAAGGTCAAGGAGTCATCAAACATATCAAGATTAAGTTATGTCTAAAAGAAAATGGAAGAGGGGGTATTGGTGGGGGTGTGGGAGGTGAATCACAAATATAAAGCTACCAAGGTTGAGTGTCAAGTACCCAGTTATATTTAAATATTTTGACGTCATGAACATCACCATGTAAGCTCATGTAACAATGCACGTCACATTGGCAGGAGTTTTCAAAGTTGTGGAAAAAGTGATATCTGTGGAATATTCTCCGTATTCCACACACTTGAAAAAGTCAACTATGGGATAAGTCATTTTATACTGTAATATTGAGTAATTATTGGGATATTGAATCAATGCATACTATTGTAGAAAAGTGCCTATCATTGTAAATGTCATTCTAGATACTGTAATATTGAGTAATTATTGGGATATGTATCGCCAAATAAAAACGGACGTCGTAATTAGCAATTTTTCGACGTTTAAGGCTGCTATGTTAATGAATAGAATCATAATTGGCCATTTGATAAATGACCCATTTTCATTTTCTGGGGGAAGCTTATTTTTTAAAGCCCTGGTATTGATCTTTTTTTATTACGTACGTTCAATCTAGATGTTCCAATAACCATTTCGAGTAAATTCTGATATTAACAAAAAAAAATTTACAGCAGGTTAGAATCGTTGAATTTGCCCATTTTTACCATATTTTCGCTAAAACTATGACGTCACGCTACCACTCCCCATACAAAGTGATTTTAAAACACGTTTTTCTGGGGGAAGCTTATTTTTTAACGTTGGGAATTCAATTTTTTCGCTGTCTTACTCATAATAGTGTCATGCATAATATACCATTTCGAGTAAATTCGAGTTCGTAAATTATCACACACTTTATCTACTTTTAAAGTTTTCCTATAGTAATTTCCCATTGACAATAATCTCTGACGTCATATGTCAGAATTTATGTTAATGAGCAAATGACGTGATATTCTTGATATGATTTCCATATTTGTGACGTCAAGAAATCACCATGTAAGCTCATGTAACAATGCACGTCACATTTGCGGGAGTTTTCAAATCCGTGGAAAAAAGTGATATCTGTGGAATATTCTCCGTATTCCACAGATATCGCTTTTTTCCACGCATTTGCAAAATATCATAAATATATACGTGTTATTCTACAGATTTGACCTCAACTATGGGATAATGAATCAGGTCCGTGATTTAATCAAAGCAAATACGAATACATGACCTCAAACATGTCAAATTCTATTGTGGTGGATGCAAAAAAACTCATTACTTGGCCTCGTAAGGCCCTATTTTTTAATTTCATCCAAATTTTGAAGAAAATGGGCCTCAACAGTTCAAAATTTGGGCCAAGTTTTTTTCTCTGACCTGGAATTTTGCCCCCCTTGTTGGTTCCTGGATCCACCCCTGAATAGATAGTTGATACCGTTTCGAAACAAATTTTTTTTTCAATGTGCCTTTTTGTGAGTATGGCTACTTATCATCGATCACGAAATATGCACTGTCTTTACAATATATCGTCGATCTCTTCAGACAACGTCACTGTATCACGAAGAAAAATATGTCAAACATAAAGATGTCGGCAAATTACTTCAGTGGTAGTCTTGAATAAGATAGTGTATGATTTGTATCCAGATGTATTCGATCTAGTTGAACCACGCAAAGCAGACCACCGACTGTCTAAGTCATAAGGAGGTCATATGATTAATTTATTTAAATCTCATATTTCTTGTATCGTTCAGAAATAACATTTAAATTAAATCAAGAATTTGTTGCAATTGCAAAATCGAACACACATATTTAATAGTCCCCCTCGCCCCCCCCCCCCCCCCCCCCCCCTGGAACTTATTCTCTAGCCTAATATTTTTAACGCCACTGTTTATCACAATAGTTTACTAGTATTTTCATATTAAATCTAGAATGAAAAATAAACCAATTCTCCCTTCAAAAGCAAATTTATAATCGGATAAAATAAATAGGAAACTTTATTGAATAATAAATCATTATTAACAGAGTACAGTATGTACCGAAGAATGCTGTACATTACTTAAAACCTAAGTGCTAAAATTACAGTTCTTTATTTTATTAACATTAAACTTTATTGATGAACAAGAGATAAAGAATATGGTTCAGATTCTCCCTATTTATTTATTTAATGACTTAACTACCGGGGTAATTGTTAATAAGCCAGATAAGTGATGTTACCTAATTAGCGTTGCAAATAATGAGACTTGATGACGTCATTTCGTATAGTTACCGTATCTCCTGTTTTGGGAAGTCTGATATGAGAGTATCTCCTGATATATAGAGATTATCCTATATGAGGTTCAGGATATTGGGATTATCCCGAGGCCAATATAATATATCTGCCCGAGGGCCGTAGGTCCCGAGGGTAGATATATTATATTGGCCAAGGGATAATCCCAATATCCTGAACCGACTATAGGATGATATGTTTATCCCATACCAATCACATTGTTCAATTGGCCAAAGTTCAGAAACTTTGCAACCAACCGTGGAATTATTTTAAAATATTCATGTCCAGTTTTGTATTCTTGTCCGTAGCCGGATTTTCCTGTTCAAATCTTTGATTATTAACCCGGAATACTGCTCCTTCCCTTCTTAAAAGCATCAAACAGATCGCGATTGTCTGTGTTTTTCTCCATTGTCGTTTACAGTATGCGAATGTTACAAAAAAGAACCAATACGGGAACAGCGATTATGACGTAGCGGGCAGATATATAATATCTGCCCGCTCGGAGCGGGACGTAAAGCTATATCTGCCCTCTGATGAAAATATAAGTTTTTACAAACCGGCTTTATGTACCCGTAACACGTCCAAGTATGGGATAAAAGCTGATATCTGCTGTTTTTAGCGCAGAATAGCCAGCGTATCTCTTGTTCTTTATGTCCGATATTGTATGAATAGTAAAGTATAGTCAGTGTATCTCCTGATTACCACGGGAATAAGATGGGACCTATTCTGTGGCATACCATCAAATGGCTAAGTAGAACTGGTTCGATACGCAAATCTGTCCATATCAGAGATATCATATCTAACTATATTTTGGGGGATTCTAGAGATATTTACAAACTATTTGTCCAAATCTCTTAAAATAAAACGAGAGATACCGCACATTTTGCACAGTATTTGTATATCATTTTTATATAAAATACATGAATATGAAATGTGTAAAATGAAATCATGTATACAATGCTACGCGGTAAACATGATACAAATATATGTCATATTCCGCAACGAATATAGCATATTCACTTGCGGTGTATGACAGATTCACTAGCGGTATATGGCATACACACTAACCAATGAGAATGCGATACGGAAGTAGGCAATTGTCAATTACATCGATTCAACAAATTGGCTAAAGTTTATAAATTATTACAATGATTACTGAATCAACATGTCAGTACATTGAATATATCAACTAATACAATTGAATAACATAGTACGGTACCTGTATTTTTTGATTTATGTATGTATGACACATCAAAACTCACTTTAAGGCAAACATTATTACGCAGATAACCGACTGACCGAACCTACGTTCGTGCAGCCAGACAAAAGCCAGATAAAAAGCTAAGTTTATAGCAAAATTCATTTTAATATTGTTGTTTTGGCAATCACAATTTACACATTTCTGATACTTTCAGGAGTGTCATTCAGTATTTACACGTAATAAACGTACTTACACAATCGTGGATTCATATATTATTACTCGAAGCGCTAACAATATTGGTGATCTAATGTAGTTTTTCATTTGGATTCGATTCTTTTAACCAATCAAATCAAGGCTTTCTGAATTGTCACTTGCGGTATATGGCATGTTCCGCAGTTGAGTATGCCATATTCCGCAGGAGGGTATGACATATTCAGCAGTGAGTATCGAGTATTTACTGAAATCAATGTATCACACATTCATAGCGGAATATGACATACCCACCCGCGGAATATGCCATATACCGCATGTGATTATGGCATATTCTCCTCAAAAATACCGCACAGCCATGAATATATGCCATATTCCGCGTAACACCTAGAACCTAACGATGGAATACATCTGTTATGTGCGATTGGTTTTGGATACAGGATTTTTTCAAAACCTCCTATTACATAACCCTTATGTATCTGTCTCCCAGTCCTTCTGTTTGTCTATATGTTTGACCATATTTCATCCGGGTAGAATGTCAATGATCACTTCGAAGTCTCATGTTGAAAACAGCGTAGCATACCCTTCTCTCGAAAGAGAGATTTACCTCGATGGTTCTCATTATGTTTTATATGAAGAACAGAACTTGATGATTGAACACTCATTGCGTCCTTTATAAAATTCTTTGTTTCAAGGTTCTGGGTCAGGCCATGTGCAGGAACTTTTGACCACAGTTTTGTATCACTGCATTAATGCGTCTATAAATTATTTCATTTCCAGAAAACGGATGTGGTATCATAGTTCCGGTCAACCAAGGATTAACTCGAAGTACAACTGCGCATATTCTAGACCAATTGCGGACTGGGACAGCATGTATTGCACTAAATCAACTCGAGCTCTATGCAAGAGATCATTAGGTAATAGTTCGTTCAATTCGTCAGTCCCCCCGTCTGAAAAATAGCTGGTAAAATAATACCGACTTGAGCAAGGCTACCAAACCAATTGTTCTCCATATTTGTAAGAAAGATGATTATTGGTGAAATATTTTTTACAAAATGGCCGCCGCTTTCAAAATGGCGATAACCTAATCTATTCATTTCGAAAATTTTGAAATTGGCCAAAAACGAATTTTTGGTAGTGTTAACTTGGAGATATTTCTGAAGCATGACTTTTCAAGTGAAATGCATTTCAGATAAGATTGCAATTGTTATATCATTTTACAGATTCCTGCCTTGTAAAATTCAAAATGGCTACCTCATATGGGAAAGTATGTATTACTATAAGAAATTCAAAAAATATATAACATTCACATATCACCCGCGTTTTAGGCGAAGTTTGAAGTGCATTTAACCCTAATTTGGACAATGTCTTTTTATTAACCTCTCGAAGGAGGTGTATCAAAAGCTCACAAACTAGGTCAAATGAGGTCTAAAGTAGGTCAAAGTAACCCAGGGAGAATTTTTTGTGTATTTATTACATTTTTTATGAAAAAAAACAATATACAGGGTGGGCCAAAAATGTCAAGGGTCAAAATCATGGTTTACCAATTGCTGAATACAGAATAGGAACTGACCAGACAGAATGTAAGTAACCCCTATATCCGTTTTGGGGATATGATTCTAATGATAGATTGAAGATTTATGTTGATTTATGTATTACATGAGAGATTTACAAATGTAATTAATATTTATTATTGACGTTATGTTGTGAAGTCCATATCAAATAGTTGAATATTTATTTATTTCGAGACATTTGGGAGAAAATATTATGTTCCTGTTTAATATATTTATGCATAACCATATTTATGATTTCAAACGGTTAAAAAACCCTTAAAGTGACATTAGGACAAAAATCATGTCGAAATATATCTTTTGCAAAAATAATGTTTACATACCACGTAAGAATGATATCTGGCACTACTTTTCTACGAATACTGGCGAGGAGTGAAATTCTCAATTATAAAAGTATATAAGGACGTGTCATACTTTAATCTCTTCGTTAATATATGCTTTCAGTGAAGAAATAAGTGTTTTAAATTGAAATGAAGGACAATGATGTTTGAGACGCCAGTTCCCATGGCAACTTAATTTTGCCTTTAACGAGAACTTTTTTTGCTTTTAAATATATCTCATTCTTTGTCCAATTTTGATGATATTAACGCCAAATAAAAACTAGGTGAACAAGGATTATGATTGACTAATGTTTATGAAAATCAGCTCATTTGCACATTCATTGTGACGTCATAACCCCAATTTCTCGTTTATTCTTGGCCGGTTTTTAGATTATGTATTACAAAAACTACTTTTTAGTTAAGGTATTGATGTGGGATAACAATGTCTCATTGTATTCCAGTCCTCAGCTTCATTATATTCCAGTCCATAGCTTCATAATGGTATATAACAATTTGTCGAGTAACTGGAAATAATACAGTTGATGAGATTATAAAGTTGTATGTTTGAAATCCTAAGTGCTGATTAAAACCCTTTTGAGGAAGGTGGAATTAGAAATACGGTTTCTTTATCCATCTTTTATCTTTGTTGGAAATTTTATGATTTTAGTACCGACTGAAACCTACAAACTATTTTTTATTATCTATTCAAAATTCATATGCATGTTAATTTCCTTCAAGTTCAATATTTCAGATGTCATAGTTATTTTGAAATTAAATCGACCCAAGAACATTTCTAAAAATATATAATTTATGGATATTTAACAAAAATAGAAATGTGGACGCTTTTGGCCCACCCCGTATATTTTTTGCCAGAAAGGGGTAATACTTGTGATACCTGCTTATAGGGTCTACCTTTTGAGGACAAAAACCTAATAGGTAATACCTTTCCTAGATATAGAGATAGGTAATTTGGTCAGAAAGTTGGAGAAATGAAACTTCAACAAATAAGTGGAGGGGAGATTACACAGTCTTCGACCTAGAAAACTGGATAACTTATAAGTTTGCAAAATAAATATCCTAGAAAATACCCCTGGTTATAATATAGTTTAAGACTTATGAGCATTGGTTGAGAAATAGCGGAGAAAAATGTTTAAGTCATAAATAGCCGCTGAATGGAAAAATCTGGGGGGACAAATAAAATGACTTCTACCAAAATAATAGAAGTACGGTTTTAATGTTTTGATGACATCTTATATAGACATGTCCAAGAAAATGTTATGGATATATGACCACCAATCAACCTTTCTCTCTGCATTTTGGAATTAATACACATACATATTGGATATATATCATCTTATTAGATACACTAACCTAGGTGAACGGGTTGGTAAGGTAATGGAATTACTTCTACTTTAAAACAGAGAAACTGTTTATACTTTTTCCTTAGCTTGTTTGTGAATCTTCTGATTTGTCTCACTCATTAAGCTTCATTTACATTAGCATAAATTCACCACGTTGAGGGTTATTATATCAGGTTCAAAAACACCCCGGGTGATCAATATCCTGTGTTCCGAATTTCGTTCCAGCAAGTCAGTGACCCGAGTTGTGTTTTACTGAATCCCGACAAATATGGCGGCTAATTTGACAACAGACGATGTTGATGTCGACAATTATTCAAAACTTTCTGTAAGCATAAGGTAAGACTGAATATAGAGTGGCGCATTCGGTGCCTAAATATGTTTGCAACATTTTCTTAGTTGTTTATCCATATGCGTTGGGCATTACTGCTAATCGAAGCATAAGTAAACGTGACCTCATTTTCAACGCTCGCTGGAAAGTATGTCACCGAGCAGTTTTTGACCTTCTGTTAGTTAATGAGATAAACTGTTATCATGGTATAATTGCTGGGTAGATGTTCAAAGTATGTACCAACTCGTGCTTCCAGTGAATGTAAACCATTTCTTTGCATAAGCGTCCTAGAAGGCATAATAAGATATATTCCATAGTACCGAATAGAAATCGCCAGTGTTCCGACGCACTTCATGGATAAATGCTCATAGACTATTGAATCATAATGAACAGAAGCAGTGTATACTCACGTGTGATATCTTAGTTTATCAAAAATAAGAATTGAATGCATTTGATAATATTGATACTTTGCCAACTTGACTGATTTTTTTCTAGTCTGAGTAATTAATAAATGAGTAGTGGATTTGATTAATTGAGGATTTCCCATGTTAAAATATGTGAAAATTGTCAAGAGGCCACACACATCAGGGGATGAGAGTACAATACAACATGTGTACATTATGAGACTATGTTGCAACACCTTCAAAGAATGGTCATTTCACAATCCACATTGCACATACTGTAGCAGGCATTTTTATGATATATTTTAACATTGTCACAAAAACCAGGGATTGACAAAAAATGTAGCATATCATATAGCAGGTATATGCCAGGTATTGTAATATATTTCAACGTTGTCACTGTTAGAGTAGGCATTACAATCTACCCATAAAAATATAATAATATTGACAACAGGCTAAAAAGTCTTCACTTAGTAAGCCATAAATGTTCACCGCTGAATAAAAGTTCATATCTTAAAACGTATTGAGACCCATTTTGCGAAAAACTAGCATAATTTAAGCATTTGTCATTCTAATAGAAAAGTGATTCATTTGTAGCATTTATCTTATTAATACCCGAGAAACAATACAAAATGTCGATACACTGATGACATAATCTTTTGGTATTGAATAGAAAAATAACCTCAAACTTTTAGCTTAGAAACCTAAATCATATACTTAAAATCATATTTTATTATTTGCTATTGCATTGTGTACTCCAAATTGTAAAAGTTTGGAAGTTTATTTTTTGGAAATTTTTTGACCTCTGTTAATGGCAGGCATAATTTAGCCTTAAAGCCGGAAGTATATTAAACGGTTATAATAAAAATTATTAGGGGACATATGTAGGTATGCTTAAATTAGGTCAAATATCGCTGCGCTATAGTGTGCTACCAGCTCCTTTATTAGACGTCCTAGAGATTTCATACCATGGACTATAATGGCAGGATCCATGCATAATTTATTAAACATGTTAAATCAGGCCCGCAGATAGGAGGGGGGGGGCCTGGTCAGAAATTCTCTCAAAAACTTGCAGTTTTTCACCATTCTGAGCACTTTTCACATGATTTTTTGCCAAAACAACAGATGCCATTCAGATCATACTTATAGTAGAAGGCTAGGCTCAAATAAACCTCAAATTGAGGTATTATCATTGAGATACTGATACTATACATACGATCTTGCTATCAAAACTGTCAAAAAGCCCCCCCCCCCTTGGCAAAAACTCCACCCTTGGTAAAACCGCTCCCCAATGGTGAATCCTGGATACGGGCCTGTAAATGGTCATCGTGGTTTTACCAGACAGCAATGCAATGTTTTGATTTGCACACATTTTTTATTTTTAAAAATCTAATTGAGAGCATCCTATGTCCTAATCATGTGAAAAGTTCAATTTTTTTGAATAGTTATATTCCTTCTATAAAGTGGGTACACTTTTTGGGACACCCTGTATTTGCAGTTCAATGCCAATGTGGAAATCAATATACAGGGAAATTCGATCTTGAATTTGTAAAATAATAACAAGAAAGGTAGCACCAAATTAGCTTGATGTATTCATGAATGGATTCTCAAAAGTATACAAAATATATATAATCGTATTCTGTAGCTTCGGGACAATGACTATTCCTATTCGGTAGAATGGAATATCTCTCTCAACGACTTCTTTGACGCTTATGAAAGATAATAGCTTGGATTCAAACATAGCACAAGTTGAGACATACTAATAAGGTATACTTTACAGTTATAGAATGCTCAGAGTATCCATCATTACTTACAGAAGGCAAAGAACGACTCGCTGATATCGTTTTCTGCGAGCTTTTCGAATTGGGTCATGTTGGTTTCATGCTTCGATTTGCATTAATAGCCTACACATATGGATAATCGTTTAGGAACATGT